ATAGGATAGAGGCCTGGTGCACGGGTGGGGGCCGGCTGGTTTGCCCTGAAGGGTGTCCTGGATCAGGGTGGGGGGTCCCGCTGGGTGCCTGGCCATCCTGGGTGAGGGGCTGATGGCTGTTTGCAGGCTGGTCACACCCCCTTCGGGGTGCCTGGCCATCCTGGGTGAGGGGCTGATGGCTGTTTGCAGGCTGGTCACACCCCCTTCGGGGTGCCTGGCCAGCCTGGGTGAGGGGCTGATGGCTATTTGCAGCCTGGTCAAGCCCCCCCCCCCCAGTGGGGACCCTCACCCCATGGAGGTTTGGCCAGCCTGGGTGAGGGGCTGATGGCTGTTTTCAGGCTGGCCACAACTTCTTTAGGGTGGGGGTCCCCACTGGGTTGCCTGGCCAGTCTGGGTGAGGGGCTGAGGGCAATTTTCAGGCTGGCCAAGCCCCCTGGCGACGGAAGCTCCCAGCCTCTCCTTTTTTTCTTTTTCTTTTTTTATTCTGGGATTTACTTACCTTCTATAATTGAAACTTTATTGCCTTCAGTGGAGCTCAGAGCCGGCTGCAGCAGGCAGGAAGCTTGGCTTCCTCCATCACTCGAGCAACCAAGCCTCCTGCTCGCTCCAGCTCCGTGGCTGCCGGCCGCCATCTTGGTTGGGTTAATTTACATATAGTCGCTCTGATTGGCTGGTTGACGTGGCTTAAGGTGTAGCGAAGGTATGGTCAATTTGCATGCTTGTCTTTTATTAGATTAGATTTCAGGTTGGATATTGGATTTCCAAATACTGCTCCTCTTTATTTATTTATTTATTTTTAATCTTTTTCTTCTACTTTTCATCTCTCTCTTTGCTCTTCTTTTAGGGAAATTTCTTTAACTTTATCCTCCAACACACACACACACACACACATATTTTATTCTGATGATATGTTTTTATTGATTTTTATAGAGAGAGGGAGAGAGAGAGAAACATTGGTTGCCTCCCATACTTGCCCTGACCAGGGATCGAACCCTCAACCTTGGTATGTGCCCTGACAGGGAATCAAGCCTACAACCTTTTTTGGTGTACAGGACAATGCTCAAATCAGCTGAGCTACCTGGCCATGGCTACCCTCTAACATTTTTATTACATTTTTTCTGCATTTCTACTGTTATGTTTAATTCCCGAGTGTTCTTTGTTGTTATTTTTTTTGTAAATCCTCACCTGAGGATATTTTTTCCATTGCTTTTTAGAGAGAGTGGAAGGAAGGGAGGGAGGGTGAAATAGAGGAACATCCATGTGAAAGAGACACATTGATTGGTTGCCTCCAACATGCCCCAACTGGGGCTGGGGACGAACCTGCAACCCAGGTACTTGCCCTTGACAGGGAATTGAACCCTCAACCCTTGGGTCCATGGACTGATGCTCTAACCACTTAGCAACATAGGCCAGGGCCCAAGGGTTGTTTTGTTGTCCCCCTTTTTTAATAGCTTCTTTTTCTAATTTACTGGCTCCGATAAGCACTCACCAATCTACTAATATTAATGCAAATCTGGGGGAAGCTGTCTTCTCTCTGCAGTCTTAGATTTCTACTAGAGGCCCGGTGCACAAAATTTGTGAACTCAGGGGTGGGGGGGGGTCCCTCAGCCTGGATTGCGAGAGGGTGCAGGCCAGGCCGAGGGACCCCACCGGTGCATGCTCGGGGCCGGGGAGGGACACGGGAGGTTGGCCAGCTGGGGAGGGACCATGGGAGGGCTCCAGGGCATGTCCAGCCTGTCTCACTCAGTCCTGATTGGCAGCAAGCTAACCTACCAGTCGGAGCATCTGCCCCCTGGTGGTCACTGCATGTCATAGCAAGGGGTTGAGCGACCTTAGCATATCATTAGCATATTATGCTTTGATTGTTGTGGACACTTAGCATATTAGGCTTTTATTATATCGGATAAGCTAATTTTTCCCTTTTGCTCGTTTGACCTCCCTCTTTTGTAATAAAGATTTTCTCAGGGATCAGCCTTGGGTGTCCACCTGCCTAAGAGCAGCGAGGTTGGTGAAGCCGACTGGCAGCTGGAGTGCTGGTGGGCTTTCTGTCTGTCTTGTAGCTGCTCTGCTGGGTTAGTGCCTGGAGCCCAGGATGTCAGTGCCTCCGGGTCTTTTCCTTCCTGAGCAGCTCGTTCCCTGCTCCCTGCTGTGTACTCAGCCTCCTCCTGAGGGAAACGGCACTGGCAGGTGCCTGCAGCCGAGGAGAAAGTGGCTGGGAGGGTCTCTGCACTCAAAATGGATATGGTTACTCAGTCCACTTCGATCCCTCTGTCCCTCCCAGCAGCCTCGTGTGACCGTGCAGGGTGGTCCCAGGACAGAGATCAGCCCCAGAGAGTAAAGGCCTCCGTAGCCACCGCCACCATCCAGTGCACACTGCCATCACCTCTGACCTGGAATCCTGACACAACCACTTACCTCTTGTCCCCTCCTGTCCCTACGAAGGAGTGAGGTAGCTCTTTCATGTCCCTCTTTACCTCTGAAGCCTCTCCTAAGTAGCGCCCCCCTTGCACCTCTGTGGGGCCACACCCCTCTGTCACAGTCCTGGTGCCTCACCTGGCCTCTCTGTGAAGACACAGCCCCAAATCCCCTCCTCCTGAGTCCTCCAGGCCAGAGCACCTGCCACACCACCTGAGATGGCCGGCTCTGCCTGGGGCCTGAAGTGAGGTCTGCACCTCCATGTGGGCACTGGTGCTCTGCGCGTGAGCCTGGCCCCTGTGCCTAGTGCCGAGCTGAACAGACCCAGGAGGTCATTGCTACTTGCCCCCCTGGAGTTCTGCTCTGGGAGCTGACTGCAGGGGAAGGGCCTGCTGAGCCCGTCAAGGCTGCCACCAGGCCAGCGAGCTCCGGCTCCGTCAGCAGAAAACACTGCTGCTCTTGGACCTGCAAGGCACACGGGAGGCTGCCTCCTGGGATTCAGGGTGCGGAGACGCCCCACACTACCCTGTAGGGCCTCCGTGTGGGCGGCCTTTCCCAGAGAAGGGACTGCTTGGCAGGCTGCCTTCCCTATAACTACTTGAAAGCCTATTTCCATAATGGCCATAATGGGGCCTGACTAGGGAGCCAGGGCCTTCCTGCGGCCGGATCCCTGGCGAGGGAAGCTGTGAGTGGTGATGGGGAGGCTTAGCCTGCAGCGTCCGCTGAGCACGTGCCAGGCACCGATCCTCATCTGCCCTTGGAGGAGGGGTTACAATCTCCATCGGGGAAATGGAAATGGCAGCTCTCTAAGTGCTTGTTCAAGGCCACACCAGGCAGCGTGAGTTCAAACTCAGGACTCCTCAGGCCCCTGGGCCCTGCTGCGCCCTGGCACCAGGAGAAAGTGAGTTCTCCCTGCCTCCGTGGGTCATTTTGCTGCATGACTTTTGAGGCTCCTCAGCCTCTCTGTACTGGCTCTGGGAAGCCTCCCTAAGGTGGTGGGCCACGCCCCCGGGGGGGGGGGGGGGGCGGGGGGAGGTTTTTTTTCGGAGCTCTCACTAGGGGGCCGAGGGCTGAGCAGTGCGGAGCACTCCAGCTCGGTTAATGGACCCCACAGTCATGGCAATGGGGGGGCACTCAGCACTGGTGCTTCCTGTTGACCTTAGGAAGGGTGGTGGGTGCCCGGGCATGGCAGCAGCCCTCTCCTCTTGCTTGATTTTTCCAGTAACTGGTGCCCCTATCAGAAGTCCAGGCTGGTCACCTTCGTAGCTGCTTGCAAAACGGAGAAATTCCTCATTCACTCACAGCAGCCATGCCTGCAGGGAGCTTCGGACTGCCAGAGAGTCAAAGTCATGTGAGTGGGGCTGGGGGAGGCCACTGGCCCAGTTCCCGCCGCGGCTCACCTGGAGTTGCTGAGCTGGCTGTCTCCTTCCAGGTACCGCATAGCCCACAAGCCGGTGTACCAGGTCAAACAGAAGGTGCTGGCCTCCGTGGTCTGGAGGTGCTGCCCGGGCTTTGCTGGCTCTGACTGCCAGCACCATGGTAGGGCTCCGTGTGTCCCCTCCCACCTCAACCTCTGACCCCGGAGGTCATGCAGCTCCTCTGACCACTTGGGGTCAATATCTGATGCCTCCTCCCTGCAGATCCCACTGCGACCCCTGAGCCCACAGATCCGGGTGACAACCTCCAGGAGCACTGGGCCGGGCCGGCTGACGTGGAACCTGGTATGTTGCTTCCCTGGCAGGTGCAGGAGGGGCAGGCAGACAGGAAGAGCTGTGTGCCAGGCTCTTTCTCCTCTGAAAAGGCAGTGCCATCTCAGGAAAACTCGGCCCCCAGAACCAGCAGGGCCCCTCTGAGGCTCTGCACCGCCCTACTCCATACCTAGGAGGCCAGGTTGCCTGCCTGCTGGCTATGCACATCACCCCTGTCCTTGACACCCTTTCTAGGAAGGACAGCTTCGCCTGGCACCTCCCTTGCCCCTGCACTGCACAGGTCCCCATGGCCTGGAAGAAACCTTCCCACACCCCGCCCCTCAGTCAGGGACAGGAAGTCATGCTGCCCCTGTTCTCGAGTCAGCATAGGAGAACCATCAAGAGACCCCATGGTTGGGCCTTTCAAGGCTGGACCAAGGTTGGGGTGGCGAATGCGTTTTATCATGTGGCGAACGCCTATCTATTGACAAGGGCTTCTAGCATAGTGTCCAGAGGCCATGCCCACGTGGCCGAGGAGGAAAATGTACCAAGATTGATTAGTCATGTCTGCTGTGGGTGTGGATGGCAGGGTGAAGGCTCACTTACCATGTGTTTGCTCTTCTGGGACTAAAGGCTTCTAAGCGGCTGCTCAGAGGCCATCAGCATACTCCTCTCTGTTCTCAACCCCGAAGTCTCGGTGCCCTATGGTCCGCCGGGCAGTTAGCCCTCAGTACGTCTTTCTCACGTGTCCTCCAACCACCAGCTGCAGAGACCAGCGACATCAGGGTGCGGCAGGAACGCCTGCTGAGAGGTCTCCAGAATGACATCCACCACCCGGCTGACAGCCTCCCGGGCCCGGGGACGGCCCCAGCAAGCAACCTCACAGCTGCAGTGACTGAGGCACATGAGGAGGCGCTTGGTAAGAGGCCGGCTCCAGGCTGAGGAGAACCTGATTACATCCCAGGGGATGAGTGGGCGGGGAGCAGAGGACCTCCCTCCAGCCCCTGCCTGGGGAGGGGTCTGCTCAACAGGTTGGTGTGAACATGTGCGTCTGTTGCAGAGTTTCCCGGCAAGTCCTTGGAGCAGGTGCTGCCTTTCAGCCCCGTTTGGAGCGGCTTTAACCAGAGCCTGCACAGCCTCTTGGAGGCCGTCAGAAACCTCTCTCTTGATGTGGAGGCCAACCGACAGGCCATCGCCATGGTCCGGGACAGCGCCGTGCCCAGGGCTGACTTCCAGGAGCTTGGAGCCAAGTTCGAGACCAAGGTCCAGGAGAACAGCCAGAGAGTGGGCCAGCTGCAGCAGGACGTGGAGGACCGCCTGCACGCCCAGCACCTCTCCCTGCAGCATTCGCTTTCCGAGGTCCAGGCGGACGTGGACACCAAGTTGAAGAGGCTCCTTAAGGCCCAGGAGCACCTGTCCAATAGCAGCCTGGCGGCAGCCGCGGCAGGAGCAGGAGCCCGGCCGGAGCCAGAGAGCCTGCAGGCCCGGCTGAGCCAGCTGCAGAGGAACGTCTCGGCGCTGCACCTGGCCGCCAGCTACAGGGAAGAGGCGCTGCAGGGCACCCTGGCGGACATGCAGGCGACCCTCGACCGGCACGTGGAAGAGATCAAGGAGTTGTATTCCGAATCGGACGAGACCTTCGATCAGATCAGCGCGGTGGAGCAGCAGATGGAGAAGCTGCAGGGAACCCAGCAGGAGCTGCGGGAGCTGCGCGTGGCCCTGATGGAGAAGTCGCTCATCGTGGAGGAGAACAAGGTGGACACGGACCGGCAGCTCCTGGAGCTCAACCTCACCCTCCAGCACCTGCAGGGCGGCCTCGCCGACCTCATCAAGTACGTCACCGACTGCAACTGCCAGAAGCCCCCCGGGGGCCCAGACGGTACCCAGGAGGGCCCCGGGAGCACCGCGCGCGCCCCGGAGGGCGCCCACGGGAGCCTGGACCTGCGGCGCCCGGGGGACGGCTCCTCTCTGCGGGCCCTGGAGCACGCGGTGGCGGCCGTGTCGCGGGGGCATGGAGGAACAGCGGGCGGAGGCCCAGCAGGCGGTCGCTGACC